GGGCAGAGAAGAAAAGGCATTCCTAGTAGAGGAAGCAGCTACTACAAAGATTTCAAGGCTCATAAAAGCAGCACGGTTTTAGGGAACTCTGAACAATTTCTTCAAACTAGAACACAGACTAGGGAGTGACAGATGAGACTGGAGAGGTGAGCTGAAGCTAAATGATGACATATTAAGAAATTTGGATGTTGTCCTACAGAACACAAAGAGCCAAAAGTTTTTAAGCAGAGGAGTTCGGTGATCAGATGTATATTTTCAGAAAAATCATTCTAGGGACGGACTAGAAAAGAGTAAGTTTTAAGACAAAAAATTGTTTTAAAAAAATCACATGAGGTGAGGGGGAGCTAAACTAAAGCTTTAACAGTGAAGATGTAGCAATGGAGATATAGAGAAGAGAGATAACACAGAGGGAAATGTATTAAGATTTTAGCAAATGATTGAATGCAGGGAGTAAAAGAGCAGGAAGTATGAAAGATGACAATGTAGTCCTTGCCTGGACTGAGATGGGGATATGAGTGCAAAGGCGGCCTTTTGGGGCAAAGACTATGAATTCTATTTTGGACATGTTAATTTCGAGATACCTGTAGTGAGATGGGGCCTCACTCTGTCACTCAGGCTGGAGTGCAGTGGCGTGACCTCATCTCACTACAACCTCTGCCACCCAGGCTCAAGCAATCCTCCCACCTCAGCCTCCAAAGTAGCCAGAACCACAAGTATGTGCAACCACACCTGGCTAATTTTTGGTGGGTTTTTTTTCGTGGTGGTTTTGTTGTTATTGTTGTTGTTGTTGTTGTTGTTTTGGTAGAGGCAGGGCTTCAAAATGTTGCCCAGGTTGCTCTCAAACTCCTGAGGTCAAGTGATCCGCCTGCCTCAGCCTCCCAAAGTGCTAGAATTACAGGCATGAGCCACCACGCCCGGCCTATTATGATATATTTTCACATTTCACATTCTCTCTCTGAACTGAAATTATGTTTTCATGTGTCTAACTCTCCCAACTAGACTGAAAATCCCTTGAGTGCTCAGATGACCATGTTTTATTCATCTTGTTATCCCATAATATGTGAGCATCACAAGCACAAACTATGTGTTCAAGAAGTATTTGTTGAATGAATAAATGAATTCATTCTCCTAGTACTTAGTAGAGTGTCTGGCACAGAGCAGACATGGAATAAATGATTAACACAGTACCCTAAACATGTTTCTATCTCTACATTATCATCCTCGTGTATGTTTCGTCCTCTCAGACCTACCACTCACTATATGACACAAATCAAAATCCATTATACTTAATGCACTACTATTTCAACAGAGTTTGGTATAGCAAACAACAAGCTTACCAAATCCAGTGCTTTCTCCATTATAACCAAGAATTTAGACAGTCCCTAAGAGCCATCTGATATTTGATTTGATTCATCCTATCACTATCATGATATGATCCACTATCAAGATGTGATCCAGGTATTATATATACCTGTTCCAATGTCCATAACCTTCATCCCTATGTCACCCTCACAGTCCCTTTTCTGTCTTTTGGAAACTGAACAATCACAAATCATTAAAAAATCCTCCCACATCACCTTCAGTGTCTATTATAAATTTTCTTTACCAAAGTCTCTCTCTCTCTGAGACAAAATTCTGGGTTCGGCTTTCCCAATGTATCCCTATATGACCTCTGGTTATTGAATTTAATTTCTCATCTATAAAATGAAAGTTCCTGTCTTTGTCCACTTTACAAGGTATCTACATAAATCAGTATAATAAAATTTGAAATCCCTATGTAAAGCATGAATGTTGTTCAGATGTCAAGTTACACAGAACCATTGTAAAAATGTATGCTTCCTCAACCTAATACAACAGCCACACCATCATCACTTTAAATTTCTGAAGTTCATAAAGCTATAGAAATAATTTTTTAAATTAAAAATTGGGTTGTCACTTTTTATTTACGTAAATTAGATCCTTTTTTAACCCACCATCTACTGTTACCATTACTGCATCAATGAAAGAGCACTTCAACACCAAAAGAATATGAATGATAATCTCTGATAATAAATTTATCTTATAACTAACCATGCTGTCTTTGTTTCTCTCCCTCCATCTTGGATAGATGATAATTTTATCATGTACAGGGTCCTTGGTCCAGTGTTTAGGAATCACTACTCTAAACTCTGAACTATAAGTTCTGACTGTCTGGGCAAGTTGCCAAGTGTTCTACCAATATGGAGGCCTGTTTGCCCTCCAGAAAGAAGCAATGAGAATATACCACAGGATAGAGGAGTCGGCTCTGAAGCTGACTCTGGAAAATAATGGGGACTGAGGCTGTCTAATTCTCGGGGAATGGTTTCGCCCTGTCCAATGTAGAGTTAAGGAAAGACTTAACTCTTCCTGAGTGTGGAAAGAATCAGGATGTCCCAACCCCATGACAGACTAGCAGTAAAGAGGAAAATTTAGTAGTATGAAAGTGGCCGTTATCACTGAATGCCAACACAACTTTCCAGAATTTCATGTGCATTTGGGTTGGTGGGGAGAAGAGGACCTAAAAGAATGCTAGTAAGATGAACCCAATTACAGGGTGTGGAGATGAAGAGATGAATTTTCAGGAGGTTGAAATGTTCAGTATCTTGAGAGTGATGATGGTTTCACAGATGTTTACACATGTCAAAACTCATCAAACATACATTTTAAATATAATCTATGCTAGCTTTTTAAAACATTCAACTGTAAGAAAGGACAGCAAGGCCACCCTGTTCGGAACCCTAAATACAGTGCTGTATAGGGCAAACCACATGACCTCCATAAAAGTAGAATTAGCAACTGAATATGGTCAGTCCAATCAAAGACCCACAGTTAAGCACAGGTAAGGAGCAGCAGTCGAATAAGGTTGTCCAGAAGCAGGTAGAGAGAAAACACAAGCTGTCACAGCGCAAAACCCTTCATGAGAGGGCCCATCTTCAACTACGCAGTCCAGAGGAGGAAGTCGAAGGAACTGAAGTTTCAGTGATTACTCTGTTGAAGACTGAGCCTCAAATATTATTTTCATTACCATAGTACTATTGCCCAACACACCTTCATTTTCTTGTCCTCCAGAATACGGAAAGTCTATGGGAGCAGAGGAGTCAGGTGCACAACACTTCCATCCAAGCTGCCCTACTTTGCCTAAACTATTGCTCTTACTGAACATGACAGTCCATCGAGGGAGGCCTCAGAATCAACCTCTCACCTTTATCCAAGTCTCACAGCCCTAATTCCCTCCATCCATGCCCTGCCTTTAACTCCCTCACCAATTTGCCGCCACCCCGCAGGCTCCCAGCTGCGCCTTTGACTCTCCCTCTCCTCGCGCAGGCCTTACCCCCTCACACTAGTCCCAGAGTATCCTTCAACTCAGCCCTCAGTGGCCCCAGCCCTAGTAAACCGCGTTCAGGAGTCCCTTCAACTTGGCACCTCCGAAAGCAGCCAGCCTCTCACACCCCCTCATTTGTCCACTCACCTGTAAGCTCTCATCTTCCTTCTCTGTCTTAGCCACTCACACCCGGACCCTCACCACCTGCCAACACCTCACAACCAGTACAGTAACCAAACCCGGTACTGTCTTTTCCCAGTCTCTCATCCTCCCAAGCGCCTGCCTCTCCAGGCCCTCTGGCCCATGCGTACTGTTCACTCACGGAACGCCGAACCTGGCCGGGCCCGCTTGTTGCGGCAGTGTTAGGTGAGTTCAGATCGCCGCCATCGCATCTCAGGCGCACCAACCGCGCCCCGCCCCACGCCACACGCAGTCCGCGCCCCCGCGCACCACACGTAACCGCCCGGCGACGCACGACTGGGCAATGGCGTGCCAGCTCATTGGCTGAGCCCGACCAAACCCGAGCAAGGACGCTTGTTTCCTGGCAACGGCTGAACGCAGGGGCGGGATCGCCGACGGCTATCCGAGGGAGGAGCACCGCCTCTCCTCTTGGTTCCGCCCCTTCGTACGTAAATCCCGCCCCTCAGAGGGACTCCGGCGTGTCATGCGGGAAGGCCTCAGGGAAGGTGGAGGCCCGCAGAGCGGAGGCGGAGCCCGGGAAGGAAAGGTCGAACCAGAGGGCAGAAGGCGGGATCTAAGGAGAGACGCGACTTTTACAGGCAGGGAAAGATCAGAAGAGCCGGGCTTGAGAGAGATGGAGCCGGAAGAAAGACGAGAAAGGGGTGGGGCCACGGATTCCGGGCGACGCGTGGAGTGGAAGAGTGGGTGTGAGGGGCGTGGCTATCACGAAAAGACAGGAGGAATTAGTAGGTGGGCCCGGCCTGCGGAAAAGCGAGGCCTGGAGAGGGCTGACTGCGGGCACTCTAGTGCATTTTGCTGCATCGTCGTGCATAGCTTGGTCTCTAGTACCCCAGCGATGACTGCCCCTGGCTCGCCCAACACCTTTGTGCTGTGCTGCTCCGTGACCCCTTGAGCACTTAGTCAAGGAACGCGGAATAAGTACCTGCATGCCCAGCTGGATTCCAGATCAGTTAGAACCAGTCTCTGCTCTCCGGGACCTCAGAGAATTGCAACGTAGTGTAATAAGTGCATTACTACGGGGGCCATCTAGAAGCAGCACTTAGCATGATTTGTATGTATAGAGGATGAGAGGAAGGTATGGTGAAGGAGCTTAGAGAAGATTTCCAGGAGGAGATGGTGTCTAAGCCGAGTCTTGGGAAACAAGCAAGAGTAAGATAAACTAAAATAGAAAAATAGACGTTTCAGATAAAGTATGTAGTTTTAAAAGTATTTTACCGGCTGGGCGCGGTGGCTCACGCCTGTAATCCCAGCACTTTGGGAGGCCGAGGCTGGCGGATCACGAGGTCAAGAGTTCGAGACCAGCCTGACCAACATAGTGAAACCCCGTCTCTACTGAAAATACAAAAGTTAGCTGGGCGTAGTGACGTGCTCCTGTAATCCCAGCTACTTGGGAGGCTGGGGCAGGAGAATGGCTTGAACCTGGGAGGCGGAGGTTGCAGTGAGCCGATATGGCACCACTGCATTCCAGCCTGGGCAACAGGGTGAGACTCCGTCTCCCAAAAAAAATAAAAAAGTATTTTGCCAATGTTAAATACCTGGTTTTTATCATTGTGCTATAGTTATATAAGATCATAACGTTAGGGGAACATGGATAAGGAATTTATAAGAACCCTGTATTATTTTTGCAACTTTTCTGTAAGCCTAAAATTAGTTCAAATAAAAAGTATTTAAAAAGAAATCGAAGTTTCAGACCAAAGGATCAACATATACCAGGGAAAGGAAGAATGGACAGCATGTGGGAGGTGCTATAAGAACTGAAGTCAGTACAGTGTGTCTGGAGCCTAGGCAACATGTGAGGAAACATTGTGAGATGAGGCTGAAGACATAGACTGGAGAACTTTATAAACCATGTTAAGGAATTTAGATTTTATTTTTGGGATGATAGCTGTAAAGAATTTTATACATAGATTGATAGTGAGGGGGACTTTGCAAAAGACCAAACAAGCTGATAAGGCCCAAACTAGAGTAGCAAAAATGCAGAGAAGTGGACATGTGGACTTCTAGAAGGTAGATCACCATGGTTTGATGATTGGGTGGATAGAGGAGGAAAATAAGAGGAAGAATTAAAAACTAATGCTTAGTTTACATAAATTCAAAAACAGGTAAAACTAAACTGTGATATTAGAATTCAGGTAGTGATTATTCTTGGAAAAACATTGACTGAAAGGGGCAGAGTGGGGCTCCTGAGGCACTGGTGATGTTCTGTTTCTTGACCTGAGTGCTTGGTTATATGGGTGTGTTCACTTTGTGAAAATGTATTAAGCTGTACACTGAAGGATTATACACCTTTCTCTGTGTTTGTTTGTTCTGGTTACTATGCTCTGTGACAAACCAACCCAAACTTAGTGTCATAAAAACAATAGCCATTTTACTATGTGTACAAATTCTGGGAATTTGGACAAGATGCAACAGGAATGGCTTGTCTCTATTCCATGATATCTGGGGCCTTATCTGTAAAGCTTGAACATCTAGGGGTGATTTGAGGCTGGTGACTGGAAGCATCTGGAGGCTTCTTCAGTCACACATCTAATTCCTGGTCTGGGATAACGAAAAAGCGAAAGTCAGTGGGGAAACTGTCAAACAGAACTTCTCACAATATGATGGGTAGGTTCCAAGAGAGAACATCCTGAGAGGGAGCTACCAGACAAGAAGCATTCCAAGAGAACCAGAGGGAAGCTGCATGGCCTTTTATGATCTGGCCTTAGAAGTCATACAACATCACTCCTGCTATACTCTATTGGTTGAAACTATCACAAGGGATTGGTGTCGAAGAATTTGTGAACATTTTTTTTAACTGCCACAATGTTATACAGTAATAATAATAAATGCTGTCATAGGTTTTTTGCTGAAAGGGCATAGATAGGAATTCTAGAAGAAAAAGTGGAGGAAGATAATGAGCTCAGTTATAGACCCAATGGGTTGAAGGTGACTGCGGGATATCCAAGTAGGAACATCCAGTGAGCAGTTAGTCATATAGAAAACCGCAGCTCAGGGAGAGTTCTCGGGAGCCACTGTATGGGAAAGGAAGTCCTGTGGGTGACTGACATCAACCAGACAGCGTTAGGAGGATGGCAAAAGTGGAAAGCCTAGAACAGAATCCAAGAAAAAAAAAACACCGTCATAGAAGGAATAGACAGAGGAGCTTATGAAAGACACTAAAAATAAATAAACAGAAAACTAAGACATTATGGCATCACAAAGGATTTTATTCATTTTGTTGCATTATTTTGAATATTGTCTTTTTATTTTAACAAGCGTAACACTTTTCAAAAAGAAATTAAGAAGCCACGGGAAAAGAGAGTTTTACAAAAATTAATTAGGGACCACAGGTTTTTCTTCTAAGAAACACTCCAAAAACACAAACCTGATTTTATCACTGAACTGTGCAAAACTCTTCACAGGTTCTCTGTTGCCATTAGGTAAAATCCAAGCTTTATAACATGGCTGACAGAACTCTTCCTGAGCTGGCCTCTGTCTATCATTCAACCTCATCTCTCACCGCTACCCACTAGGCCATCTAAAAAAAGCCAATTGATGTTTGCCCAGTCACCCATGCTTTTTGATATCTCTATGCCTTTGCCCACTTTGTGCACTCTGCCTCTAGTGCTCTTCATCCTCCCATCTCTGTACCCAACTCCTATTCATCCTGTAGAACCCAGGCTCTGTAGGGACACTTCATGGATACTATAATAACCTTCTGTGTATCCACCTAACAGAGTACTCATCAGTAGCCTGGCAATGACTGCTGCTGTTTAATTACCTAATGTGTAATTACCTGCTGGCCTGACTATTTCACCTAGCAGACTGTGAGCTTCTGGAGAGGTGAGAGTGTGTCTTATTCATCTCCAATTCCTAGTACTTAGCACAATATTGGCCTGGCACACAGAACACCTGCCTATGGGTGTTATGATTTTGACTTGTTGACTGAGAAAGATGATAGCAGTGAAAGGAACATCAGGTTGAGGGAGAACTTATAGTGTTTTGTTTGTTTTGATGTAGGAGATATTTAAGCAGGTTCACAAAAAGAGAAAAGTTGAAAGATTAGGGACCATAAAACACATGGAATAGTTGGTAGGATGAGGTACTAGAAGTAACAAGAAGGAAATGAACACAAAAGAACCATAGGATGGCCCCATCGCACTATCTATGATAGTGGTGTGATGGGGAAAGATGTAGGTGGAGGTAGATATGGGTGGGATGTAGGTTACAAAAATAGAGCTCACTTCTCATGTGAGAGACATCTCTTTGTCCCTGGACAATAGTTTAGCACCTGACATAGATGAGCCATTCAGTAATAATTGTTAAATAAATAAATAGTGAGGCCCAAACAGAGAATGTACAAAGATAAAACAGAGTGTTTGATCCTACACTAAAACTCAGGTCTTCTGACCCAGAGGACACCTATGTAGCTCAGTTGCTGTGGAAAGAGGGGAGGAGGAAAACAGAGACAAGACCCAAGTTTCCCTCTGAGGCATGCACCCCCACCTTCTCCAGGGATCTTATTAGAGGTGTTTAGCTGGGCAGGCAGAGTGCTAGAGCTAGACTCTAGCACTCAGTAGCGCTAGCTCTGGCTGTGTTGCTAAGAGCCTCAAAGACAAAGAAGTCACAGCAGGAGCCCAAGGGCAGCCTCCTTCAGGCAGTCAGGCACTAGCCCCCAACTCCCAAGTCCCCTACAGGCAGAGAGGGTGTGAATATCTCACACCCCAGCACCAGACCACAGAACTATGAGCCAGGACACCAAAGTGAAGACAACAGAGTCCAGTCCCCCAGCCCCATCCAAGACCAGGTGAGAAGTCCTGGTCCCTTGTGTGGGATCTCTCCTCATTCCTCTTGGTACCCCAGTCACAACTACAACTTTGAATACCTGGTAAATAAATGAAGCAAGACTTTCCTTCTTACAGGAAGTCGCTGCCTGTCCTGGACCCATCTGGGGATTACTACTACTGGTGGCTGAACACAATGGTCTTCCCAGTCATGTATAACCTCATCATCCTCGTGTGCAGGTGTGGCAGGGGTGCTAAGGGAGGGGCTGGAAGCCAAAAAGAGGACTAAAGAGAGGCCAAGGAGAAGGGCAGACCCTTGGTGGGGCAGGGAGGAGGAGCAACTTCCATGGGAGGGTCTGAGACAGAGGGTTGAGGGCCTTAGGGAGATGCCTCACACACAGAGGGTGCCCTTAATCCGATCATGATTAACCTTTCCCTGCAGAGCCTGCTTCCCGGACTTGCAGCACGGTTATCTGGTGGCCTGGTTGGTGCTGGACTACACGAGTGACCTGCTGTACCTACTAGACATTGTGGTGCGCTTCCACACAGGTCAGTGAGCTTCTAGGAATGACCGTTTGTTCCACCTTCCCTTCCTAAAGATAGCCACTTAAGAAGTAACAAGAAAGGCACCCCCCCGCGCCATGCTAGCACCTTCGCGTGCCTCTAGGCCTGAGAGTATCCCAGTGCTCACCCCAGAAACCCCAGAGCAGAGTTATACCCGGCTCCACCCTGTCCTTCAGACAGTCTCCCTGGCCTGCCCTGGGCAGCTTATGCTCAGTCCAAGCTTGACTACAGCAGGTCCCCTTCCTACCCGCCACCTCTCCCCAGGATTCTTGGAACAGGGCATCCTGGTGGTGGACAAGGGTAGGATCTCGAGTCGCTACGTTCGCACCTGCAGTTTCTTGTTGGACCTGGCTTCCCTGATGCCCACAGACGTGGTCTACGTGCGGCTGGGCCCGCACACACCCACCCTGAGGCTGAACCGCTTTCTCCGCGCGCCCCGCCTCTTCGAGGCCTTCGACCGCACAGAGACCCGCACAGCGTACCCAAATGCCTTTCGCATTGCCAAACTGATGCTTTACATTTTTGTCGTCATCCATTGGAACAGCTGCCTATACTTTGCCCTATCCCGGTATCTGGGCTTCGGGCGTGACACATGGGTGTACCCAGACCCCGCGCAGCCTGGCTTTGAGCGCCTGCGGCGCCAGTACCTCTACAGCTTTTACTTCTCCACGCTAATCCTGACTACAGTGGGCGATACACCGCCGCCAGCCCGGGAGGAGGAGTACTTCTTCATGGTGGGCGACTTCCTGCTGGCCGTCATGGGTTTCGCCACCATCATGGGTAGCATGAGTTCTGTCATCTACAACATGAACACTGCAGATGCAGCTTTCTACCCAGATCATGCGCTGGTGAAGAAGTACATGAAGCTGCAGCACGTCAACCACAAGCTGGAACGGCGAGTTATTGACTGGTGAGAAGGCGGGGTTCCCGACCAGGACAGGGACCAGGTTACCTGATGGAACCTGAGGGAGGTGACTGGGTACTTAGTGCCTAGTGAGCCAGGCAAGGTAATCAAAATGTAGCATTCAGCCGTGGGTTTGCTGGGTGGGGCTTGGAAAGAGGAAACTTCTTTCAACTGAGGGAATCAGGACTTGGGATAGCGGGTGGGTAAGAGACTGAAAGGGAGAGGAGCTCATACCTAAAAAAAGATAATATGGAGAGCATGGAATGGGAACTGCCACTGCCTGGTAGGGCTCAGAAGACTCTGGAAGGAGTGGGTGAAGAAAGGCAATCCCCCTGAGAATGGTCAGCAACAAGATCATTGACTACCTATGGTGATCCATACTGTGGACTGAACAAAAGGAAGTGTCACAAAGTTGGGGAAGGAGAGCAGAGGGTCTCCAGAGAGGAGGGGGACCTTGGTGGCTGAGGTAGCTAAGGGTAGGGGTGGAACAAGACATCACTGATTGGTGAGTAGGGTAGAGCCTGACAGGAGGAGGTGAAGGGTTATGCAAAGTGGTAGAGGTGTCTATGCCCTGGAAAACAGATGATCCAACTGTCAGGTACTCCCACGACCCCTGTTAGATCTCAGTATGGTGAGATTCTTGGCTAGAGCTGAGCTGAGCCCTGATGGAAGGGGTGGAGGCAGACATACAAAGGGCTGGTAAGGAAATGGCACTGTCCTTACTCTCAGGTATCAGCACCTGCAGATCAACAAGAAGATAACCAATGAGGTAGCCATCTTACAGCACTTGCCTGAGCGGCTGCGGGCAGAAGTGGCTGTGTCTGTGCACCTGACTATTCTGAGCCAGGTGCAGATCTTTCAGAACTGTGAGGCCAGCCTGCTGGAGGAGCTGGTGCTGAAGCTGCAGCCCCAGACCTACTCACCAGGCGAATATGTATGCCGCAGAGGGGACATTGGCCGAGAGATGTACATCATCCGAGAGGGTCAACTGGCCGTGGTGGCGGATGATGGTATCACACAGTATGCTGTGCTCGGTGCAGGACTCTACTTTGGGGAGATCAGCATCATCAACATCAAAGGTGGGTATCCCAGTATTTGTTCCAGGGACGAGGACAGGGTGGGGGGAGGGGGGAACAACAGAGCCCAGTGCTGGGACCAGATAGTACTTCAGGCCTAAACTTCTGATTGAGGAAACCTGGCCCTTCTCTGAGTCACTAGATGGCTCAGGAGAAAACCAACACATAGAGGATCCATTCCCTGAGAAGCTGAGCCAAGACCAGTGAACAGGGTGGGTTCGTGGAAGAGAGAGTAGACTTGCTCTGTGGATATTCACCTGAAGCACCAATAGACTAGTGAACAGTGATAGAGATAATAATAATAATAACAGCTAATATTTATTACCTGCTTACTGCATGCCCTGTTCTAAGTGCTTCACATGATATTAACTCATTAAATTCCTGCAACAGTTCTATAAGATAAGTACTATTCTTATCCCAATTTTAAAGATAAGGAAATCAAACTCAGTGAAGTTGGGTAATTTGCCCAAGGTTTCACAGGTATACACATGTGGGATGAGTGGAAAGAACAACCTTTTTACAGACAAGTGGAAAGAGAAAGGTAGAAGAGAAGAAGTTCCCATTTACTGACCATCACCTCTAGGCCAAGCCAGGTACTACATACTGGCTTACTTTTTCCTCTCATCAGCCCTGTGCAGTAGGAATTGTTATGCCTAATCACAGGTATTAGGCATGAGGTCGTGCAAGCAGGAAATCCTACAAATGGGGTGAGCACACTGTCACAGACTGAGAGGCTGGATGTGCTCTGGCTCTCTCAGCATGAGAATTCTACCCTCAGGGATTCTGAAAGCCTCACATCTGTCCTCCAATGATCCCCTCAGGCTCCACATCCTGTATGTGGTAAGATGCTGTCTGTTTGACTTTGGACAAGTCATTTCCCTATTTAGGCCTCAGTTTAATCACCTATCCAATGAGGATAATAATAAAAACCCAGAGTTACCTGTGAGAATAAACGAGCTATGTGAGTGAGACATCCAGTGCAATGCTTGGCATACAGCAAGTGTTCAACAAATAGTAGCTCCCTTTCCCTTGTCCAAGGTCCTTCTAGCTGTAAGACTTTGCAATATTCAGCCTCACCTATCTCCCCACCCATTCTCCACCAACATCTTTCTAAACTGCAGAGGATATCACACAGCTCCCTGCTTAAAATATTTCAATAGTTTCCTACTGCCCTCAGCATAAGGCCTGAACTTCATGTCATGGCTTATGAGACCCAGTGTGACCTAGATCTCCCCTCTCTCTACCCTCCCCACACTCTGCACTTCTCCCACTCTGAGCTGCTTACTATTTTATGCATCCAACTGACTCTTTTCTACCCACTTCCCTCTGTTCCTGCTCCTCCTCCTGGCTAGATTGCCCTACCCCGACTTGTCCTCCTCCCCCTAGTTACTTCCTACTCAGTTCAGGTGTATTAGACTGTTCTTGCATTTCTGTAGAGAAATATCTGAAACTGGATAATTTATAAAGAAAAGAGGTTTAATTGACTCACAGTTCTGCAGGATTTACAGGAAGCATGGTGCTGACATTTGCTCAGTTTTTAGGGAGGCTTCAAGAAGCTTATAATTGTGGCAGAAGGCAAAGGGGGAGCAGGCATGTCACATGGTGAGAGCAGGAGCAAGGGTTGGTGGAGGTGCCACACTTTCAAACAACCAAAACAACCAGATCTCGTGACTCACTATCTCAAGGATAGCATCAAGCCATGAAGGATCCGCCCCCATAATCCAATCACCTCCCACCAGGTCCCACCTCCAACATTGGGGATTACATTTCACATGAGATTTGGGCAGGGACAAATATTCAAATTATATCTTAGGACATCCCTTCCTCCAGACTTCCCTAAATTCCTTGCCTTATAGTTTGGTAGGGGTTCTTTGCCTGCCTTTCCACAACGCCTGATGAATATGTCTGCACTGCACCAGCCATACTGTTATGCAACTATTCCAATATAAGTGTATCTCCTCTAGACTGAATTATTTGAGGCAGGTCACTGATACCCACCCAGCACAGAGCCTGGTCCCCAGTATTTTACTAAATGAAAGAATTAATGAGGCAGAAGGAGAGGCTCAGAAGCACAAATATGGAGGTGAAGGCCCTGGTTCAGGAGTGAAATGCCACCTTCTCACCCTCCTGCTAACTATCCTCCATCTGCCCATGGGCCACAGGGAATATGTCTGGGAACCGCCGCACAGCCAACATCAAGAGCATAGGTTATTCAGACCTATTCTGCCTGAGCAAGGAGGACCTGCAGGAGGTGCTGAGCGAGTATCCACAGGCACAGACCGTCATGGAAGGGAAGGGACGTGAGATCCTGCTGAAAATGAACAAGTTGGACGTGAATGCTGAGGCAGCTGAGATCGCCCTTCAGGAGGCCACAGAGTCCCGGCTACGAGGCCTAGACCAGCAGCTGGATGATCTACAGACGAAGTTTGCTCGCCTCCTGGCTGAGCTGGAGTCCAGCGCACTTAAGATTGCTTACCGCGTTGAGCGGCTGGAGTGGCAGACTCAAGAGTGGCCGATGCCTGAGGACCTGGCTGAGGCTGATGACGAGGGTGAGCCTGGGGAGGGAACTTCCAAAGATGAAGAGGGCAGGGCCACACAGGAGGGACCCCCAGGTCCAGAGTGACCCCATACCTATCCCCAGGATTCCCACCTCCTAGTGAATCCAGTTGTAGTAAAGCCTAATTGCTGCAACTCTGTCATCCTGTCTGTGGGATCACAGACATAGGAGCAAATTGGTCTGTAGATGCCCAGCTAGAGACATAGGAGTATAGTGTACATTCAGCCCCCACTCACCAATACACACACACACACAGTTGCTCATAGACCTGTTGGCCCCAAGACTGTGCATTCCATCTAAAATGCTCTGGAATTTCCATTCTCAGAGCACATAGCACACATGCTTTCTCACAAGCACTGATGTATCTTACACCTACATAATATATACACATTCAGTCATGCACCTCCTAAACACACATATGCTGGCAGTCATACACCAATAGACACAGATGCCCTTCACAGGTGTGCACACACTTGTGAAAACACAAAAGCACACCCTGGGCCCTCTAGGTCTAAGATGTCTTTTGAATGTTTCCCATATGGGCGATTCACAAGTATACCCTGAAAGTTGCACTTCAATAAAGTATTTGCCTCCTCCCTAAGCATTTATGGGGCTGGAAAGAAAAGGCAAAGTCAATGGTGGGCCGGGATGGATTCTGTCTGAATTCTGAAGTCTGAAGCCTGAATTCTGAGTCTCAGAGGTGATGAGCATGAACTGTGTAGTATCTAGTGAGTTAGAGTCAGAGGTGAGGTACCTTAAGAATAGAGAATCAATATTCAGCCTAGGCAAAGCAGGCTCTCACATCACACTGCTGTAACAGTGCCCATGCACACTGGCCTTTGCATCCCACACTAGAGCATATGTTCTTGATTTATAAGCTCTGAGAGGTTTCATCTAGTTAAATGGGCCAGAGCAGATACTTCTTCTTTTTCTTCCCTCTGGCCAACCCTAGAGCCTAGATCCAGGGCTACCCTGTGTTCAGGGCTGATTCCAAGAGAAGAATAGTTCCATTCTCCCAACAGAAAGAGGGTAAATAGTTCCAACAGGACCATTCACCTGGCCCAGCCATACCATGACAATTGTTGGAACTGGTGTTGGTGCTGGTGGAAATCCAGCCCTTCTTCTTTGCACAGTATTCCAAAACATAGGGGAGAGTAGAGACTAGGTTCAGTGGAATATTACGGTCAGAGGCAATTAGAGATGAGGGTGTTGGGAATTTTGGAGTTGAGTCTGGTATACTTGGAAGGAGGTCTGTACTTGGGGCAGGAAAGGTATCATAGGGTCTATGGGGAGGAGTCTGAAGTCACATCTGAACCAGATTCACCCTGAGTCACCATTGCAGCTCCTCCAGGGCCTGGCCAGTCTTGAGGTCTGAGCTGTGCCAGGTGGTAGTTTAAAATATATCCAGGATTTAACCTATAGATATAACTGAGTGATGTATCTGTACTCTCAGGAGAGATTATGAGGTAATCACCTTTAAATCATATTAAAATAAAATCAAAAATAAAATATATATATATTAAAATATATAGTTTTTTGTGATATGTCTTCTGCACAAAATATAAGATCTACAAGGCCAACACTGGGTTTTTCTTGTTCATCTCTGTGTCCCCAGGGATGTGCCTGATACCTAGTAAGTACCCAGATATATGTTTGGTAAGAAGAGAGAGTTGAAGCAGACAGAGGATAAATGTTGGAGGAAGATGTGTGTCAATTTCTTGAGAGGTTTTTCTGTCATCTCTGCCCTCCTATCGTCTTGAACTAGAATGGATGGGTACATAGTAAAGGCCATTTGGGTGGCATCTGATGGATTTAAGGAGTTGAGAACAAGTTTTTCACTGACATATTACAATGTGCACACCTGTCCCCAGTGAAGGCTCTCTTAGAACAGTTGGCCTCTGCCACGCCATCTAATTCTGGTCTATAGCACTAGCAGGGTGATAACTGGTTATCTGGCATTTTATGGTGGCAGAAACAAAACTCTCAAAGGGCCAGCTATCCATTTTGCTCTGCCTCTGCTATTCCAGGATGAGGAGATCAGAATCTTCATGGTGGAGCCACCGTATCATAAGACACCTTGAATAGCATCAGTTGCTTTCTGAGGTCCTCTAGTTGTGGAATTGGTTTTTTCACCCTGTTGAAGATAATATTTGGACAATTTGGGACAGGCTGAGTAGAATTAGGTCAGGATGTACAGAAGTGAACACAATTTTAAGTTCCTGGAGTAACCAAGAAATAAATTCTTTTAGTCCAAAGAATATTAACTAATGTGTATCAAGCACTAGGCTATACACTTATAAATGTGGCCAAAAATTTTATTAAAATTTTCATTTGGATTTTGTTGATTTTATCCCTCCTCCCATCATAAGAAAGGACCTAAATCTTTGTCCCTTAAAAGTTAAAGCTTTTTGAATTACAGGATCAGAAGCAGAAATTAACAGAAACTTTTTGCCAGAGATTTTGTGGGGGTCTTGGGGTTTTCTTTGTTTTGTTTTGTTTTTGAGATAGATCTCACTCTGTTGCTCAGGCTGTAGTGCAGTGGTGCCATCTTGGCTCATTGCAACCTCTACCTCCCTGGCTCAAGCAATGCTCCCACGACAGCCTCCCAAGTGGCTGGGACCACAGGTGTGCACCACCACACCTGATTAATTTTTGTATTTTTTGCAGAGATAGCATTTTGCCATGTTGCCCAGGCTGGTCTCAAACTCCTGGACTCAAGAGATCTGCCTGACTCTGCTTCTCAAAGTGCTGGGATTAGAGGTGTGGGCCACCACGCTCAGCCAAGATTTTGTTTTTGAAAAATAGGGCTCCTAGGATTTCACAAATGATGTAGTTAGAGGTAAATTGTACCCAGTTGTCTGTGAGAGCTTAAGAAGAGTTTAAGAAGCAGAAGTTTCTTCTGTGGAGGGGAGATTCCCTAAGACAAGGGAAAGGAATGAGATTCTTGAGAGTTTTTGTTGTTGTTGTTGTTGTTGTTGTTTTGTGTTTTTGTGGGGTTTTTTGTTTGTTTGTTTTGTGTGTGTGTGCACTTTTTTTTTTTTTCTGCTGCTATAACATATTACCACAAATTTAGCAGCTTAAACCAGTACCCATTTATTCTCACAGTTCTGTAAGTTAGAAATACAAGCACAGTGTCAGTCAACTAGACCTCTGTTCAGGGCCTCCCAACGCTGAAATCAAGGTTTCAGTTGGACTAGGCTGTTACCTGGAGACTGTAGGGAAGAATCTGCCTCCAAGTTCATTCAAGTTGTTAGCAGAATTCCATTGACTGTAGGACAAAGATCTCTGATTCCTTGACACATGGCCCCTTCATCTTCAAGTCAACAAAGGCATATTAAATCTTCCTCATTCTTCAAATCTCTCATTTCCCCCTCTACTACCAGGCTGAGAAAGATCTCTCCTTTTTAGGGTTCATCCGATTAGAGTAGGTTCACCTAAATAATCCAGAATAATCTCCGTATTTTAAGATCAACTGATTATTAACTAACTTAATTACATTCTCAATGTCCCTTTTCCATAATCCTGGGAATAACATCAGAGGGCAAAATAATAGAAGTCAGAATTCCACCACAGGATTTCTAAGGAAAAAAGCAGCCTAGACTCCATTTTCTATGAGGGCCCAAAATAGGGAACACTAAGAGTTAAGTCTTTGGAAATAACTGGAGAATGATCACTATGCCAGAACAGGTACTGGAGACTCAGAGCAGCACCCCCTAGAAGTGTGCAGGCTTGAACAAGGCACATACCAGCATTACCCTAGAAGTGTGCAAGCTTGAACAAGGCACATACCAGCATTATCAGCATGCTCCAAAGACCAGAGGCCCTGCCCCAGATGTTCTGTTCAACATAAAAGCCCCAGAGACTTTTGTAAGGCCCTAAATTGGGAAAGAGAGTGGGAAGAAAGCCCAAAACACAACTGAGATTAAATCTCCCATATAGTGAAAACAGTATGAAGATTCCTTAAAGAACTGAAAGTGGAACTATCATTTGATCCAGCAATCTCACTACTGGGTATCTACCCAAAGGAAAATAAGTCATTATATGAAAAAGACACATGCACACACATGTTTGTAGCAGCACAATTCACAATTGCAAAGATATGGAACCGACCTAGATGCCCATCAACCAATAAGTGGATAAAGAAAATGTAGTATGTAAGGCCAGGCAAGGTGGCTTACGGCTGTAATCCCAACTCTTTGGGAGGTGGAGGTGGACAGATTACTTGAGACCAGGAGTGTGAGACCAGCTTGGCCAACATGGTGAAACCCCATCCCTACTAAAAATAAAAAAAAATAGCTGGGCATGGTGGCACACCTGTAATCCAAGATACTCGGGAGGCTGAGGCAAGAGAATAGCTTGAACCTGGGAGGTGGAGGTTGCAGTGAGCCAAGATCACACCACTGCACTCCAGCCTGGGCGACAGAGGGAGACTCTGTCAAAAAAAAAAAAAAAAAAAAAAAAAACAGAGAGAGAGAGAGAGAGAGAGAGAGAGAGAGAGAGAGAAAGAAAGAAAGAAAGAAAGAAAGAAAGAAAGAAAGAAAGAAAGAAAGAAAGAAAGAAAGAAAGAAAGAAAGAAAGAAAGAAAGAAAAAGAAAGGAAGGAAGGAAGAAAATGTGGTATGTATACACCATGGAAGATTACTCAGCCATAAAAAGGAATGAAATAATGTCTTTGGCAGCTTGGATGGAGCTGAAGACCATTATTCTAAATGAAATAACTCAGGAATAGAAAACTAAATATTGCATGTTCTCACAAGTGGAAGCTAAACTATGAGGATGCATAAAAGTGATATAATCAACTTTGGGGACTCAAGGGGAAGGTTGGGAGGGGGTGAGGGATAAAAGACTATATGTTGGATACAGTGTACACTGCTCAGGTGACGAGTGCACTGACGAGTGCAGGTGACGAGAAATCACCACTAAGGAACTTAACCATGTAACCAAAAACCTCTTGTACCCCCAAAACTATTGAAATTAAATGATAGGTAGGCAGATAGGTAGATAGATAGATAGATAGATAGATAGATAGACAGATAGATAGATCTTTCATAAAGTAAGTATTTAAAAGTTTAGATGAGAATTATCTGATTTAGAAAATCAAACGTCTAATTTTTTACACACTATTGTGGAATAATTCACAAACTGCTCTACATGTATTATCTGATTTGGTTCTTAAAACAGTGTGAGGAAATTTAAATTATTATATTAATACTATGATGATGATGATGATGCTCATCTTTCCAGATCAGGAATCTGAAGCCCACAGAGCCACTAAAGATATTAGATCTGATTTATTGAGAAGTTTCTTTATGCCAGATCCTGGGTTAAGTGCATTGTCTCAATCCTTACAACTGTATGAGAAAGATGTCATTGTTACCCCATTTTGAAATGAGGAAAGCAAGATTCTGGGATTAGATAACTTGCCCAATATCACAGGGTCCCTAAGTCACAAGGAATGAAGCCCAGGTCTGTCATATTGTTTCTTTTAGCGAAATAAGGAAAGGAATCACCTGATTTGAGGCCAGGGCCAAGCGAGCTCTTCCCTGCTTGAGAATGACTGTCAGGGGTAGTAACTGCAGTAACCAGGGGGAAGAAGCCAGCTGTGCCAGGGAAAGCTTGTGAGTCACTGGCAAGGCTGCCTGCCAGCAAAGATAAAGGACCATCAGTTACTCTGGATAAGAGCTCCCAATTCCAGCCGCAGGGTCTGCACAAAATACAGCTGTGAGAGGAGGGCAGGAGTTGGAGAGTCACTGCTAGATTTCTATAGAGGTGTCAAGACTGTTCTAGGACCTTCCTTCTGAGAGCCCCAGTGCTTCAGGCTTAGCTCTGTTCCCTCCTACAGGACCTGGGGCCTCACTTACTTCTTTCCTTGGGTCATGACCCTTAGGAAACCCCAGTCTGGCTAAGATTTGGGATGTAGACTCCTCCTTGGTGTTCCCAGTTAGCTATGCTCCCACAGAATCTTCTTAGACCCACCACACCCCACCCTTTCTTTCTTGGGGTTTGGCTGCTAGCCTCATAAGACAGATGGAAATAAAGTATCAAGCTTGGGAGGAAATCAGATTCCTAGGGAAAGGGGCCTTTCAATCCAGTGGAGTGTTTACTCCTGGTGCAAACACTAGGAGTCAGAAGCAGGAGGCAGGGTGAGAGGATTCTAGTTTGGGCTAAGCTGGAGTTTGGCTTGAGGCTAGGATCAGAGGATGTGGTCAAGCTGGGTTAGAGCTGGGATCAGAGCCATGACCTAAGTCAGGGCAAATGTTAGGCTGGCCTTAAAGTACAATATATAGAAAACAGCATGCATTAGGCGCCAACCAGACTTGTATTTTAGTTCTGAAACATCACTTCCTAGCTGGGGGACTCTCAGCCTCTTCCTCAAAATCTTTCAGGGTTGTTTAGAGAAATGCTGAAGATTTAAAAATCTAAACAAGATAATGAATGTAAACTG